GGGAAAGAGGAAGGGAAGTGGGGAGAAAGAGCACAAGAGTGTGTGTGTAGGGATGGGGAAGGGAGACCTGCCAGAGGCTCAGAAGTGTTATATGAAATGCTTTCCTGTCTCATGTGCAACCTGACCAGGGCCCTACAAACTGCCTAGAAGACACATGCAGGGCTCTGTTCAGATAGCAGGCAACCTGAGGAGGACATACATAACATCAAGCTGGTACTTCTTGACTGATTGCTGCTTTCTCTAAAAACCACACAAAAACTTTCTACTGGCAATGGGAGGCACAGCCCAGCAGCAACCTGAGCCCAGGGCCACCGCTCCTGGCATGTACATCCTGGAGCAGAAAGGCCATAAAAGGGGAGTGATTCAAAAAAGTAGATCCTTGTTTCAGGAGAGAATATGCAGAGTTGCATTTGGAGAGCCTCACCACTGCAGTTTATTCAGTAATCCCTGCCATTGTTCAGGGGAACAAAGCAGTCATCTGATATCGTTTCAAAATTAAACTGGGAAAGGAAGGACAGGGGAGGAGGTGGGAGGGAAGAGGGAGGGGAGGGAGCTCTCAAACCTGTTGGCTCGACCCTGGGAAGGATGTGAAGTCTCCCAGCAGAAGCCTCTCGGCATCTCTCCCACATGCACCCAGCCTCACAATTCCCAGGGCCATGTGATAGGGGCTTCCTGCTACCAAGCAAAGCGAGACCTACCCCGACCTCTCTCTTCCAAACAGAGTTCCTGCCTGCTTTGTGTTCGCAGAGAGGCGTTTGTTTACTGATCTATCATTGGCATGCAGGAAACAGCCTTGAAATGAGCTGTAATCATCTGTCTCCAGCAATAGCTGTTTGGCTTTCTTCTAATTTAAGTTTTCCTCCCACCCCCCTTCCCCAATGCCTTCTTCCCCACTTCCGATCAAAACGGTTTTTGGAGTACGCACATGTGGTTCAGGGCACTAGACACTACATGATGTTTCCAAAGCAACTAGTGAATAAAAAAGAGGCGCTGACAGTAGGCACACTCTCACCCCCAAAGAACAGAGAAGCCTTCCAGAGGAATACGAGCCAAACTCCTTTGGGGAGAGGAAGGAGCCGGCTTTGCCAGCTGCACTTGGTGCAGCCACCAGATGATGACAAAAGCCAGAGGAGCACCCAATGCCCTCCAGTCCACATCACCAGAAACATGTGCAGGTTGCACATGTGGAGTCTTGTCTCCCATAAGGTCAGACAGTGATGGCAGCAAGCCTCACAGGCCTCCCTTCTTTGCTATTTCGTTTGTGAAGAGTAAGCCAAGCATACCCCAAAGGGGCTTGTGGTCTGGGGATGGGTATTACCACTGCTGCATGCCAGAGGCCATGTCTCAAGATTTTCTTTGCTCTGTTTACTCTGCACCTCGCACAAAAATCAGATCTAAGTCCATAACTGGATACTAGACACACCACTGGTGCATATAAACAGTAAGGCTTCACACCCGCAGTTGGTCAAACTCTCCTGCAAGAAAAAAGACATGCTGCGTTTAAAGTCCACACATGCTTTCTTCTCCTTGGTGCTCACAGAAACGGTCTCTCCAGTTACTTTCACGAGTAAGCCTGAGCAGCCAAAGACTGCAAGTAATACCTCTCCACTCCTGTCCTTTACAGAACAAAGGATACAACATACGGACAGCAATGACGAGACAACAATATATAACGTATATATATAAAGAACAGGAAGGATGCCAAGAAGACAAAACACTAACAGGAAAATCATGAGTAAGGGGAAGCCAACAGTTAAAGTCTTCAAGGCTCCCTCCCCCAGCCCTTGTTCTGTTTGGAGTCCATTTCCCTTTGGGGGAAGCAACAGGCATGAGGACGGGTGCTTGTGCACGAACACACACGCACACAGGCCACTGCGTGGGCCCCCAGGCACAGTCCCAGCACCAGGCAGCACCACTGGGCCCGGGTATGAGCACACTGCCTTCCCGAGGTCCCCAGCAGCAGCACGACCTGAAGGAGTGAGCCCCTGCAGAGCAAGGAGGACACCGGCCAAGCAGGGACACTGCCAGAGCCAAAAAGGACAACAGGACTGGAGCAGGCTCCCTTGGTGAAACACGGTGCTTGCAGTGGGGGAGTCACTGACCTGAGGTGCCTGACGCCAACTCAGC